AGGTCTATGTACCAGGATGCCGTGTCCGACTGGACCAGGGCCAGTCTGGCAGGGTGCTGGTAAGGGACGGAGAGATCCCCAGGCCCTGACTTTGTGTCTTCGTGACCTTGTGACCCAGGCCTCCTTTCTCTGTTGTTGGTCTCCTGGTCCTTCTGGCCACTGTGTCCACCTCTTTGGTACTTGCTTATCTCATTGTCTCTGGGTTGTGCACGGGCTCTCTCTCTCTCTCCTTCCCTCCTCCCTCCCCTCTCTCTCCCTCTCTCTCCCTCTCTCTCTTTCTCTCTCTCCCTCTCTTCTTCTTTCTGTCTCTCTCTCTGTCCCTCCTCATGTCTCTCCTCATGTCTCCCTCTTTCCAAGTGTCTTCCACACTCTCTCTGGGGCTCTATCTCTTTCTCTGTATCTCTGCATGTCTAGGGAAGGCTGACTCTCCCTGTATCTCTCTGTCTCTGACTTTCTGTATGCCCTCCACCCTCTATGTGTGTCTCTGTCTCACCGGGTCTCTCTATATTTTCAGTGTCTCATTATCTCTGTCTCTCCACATGTTCCTCACTCTTTCTCTTCTTGTCTCTGTCCCTCTCAGTATGTACTTGCCCCTTTCTGTCTCTGTCTTTCTCAGTACCTCTCACTATCTCCACATATCTCACTCTCTTTCTCTTTGTATTTCATCCTGTCCGTATGTCTTCTGCCATCTCTCTTTGTTCCTCTCTGTGTATCTGTCTCTCTGTGAATCTCTCACCTGTTTTCTCTCTCTGTTCTTCCCTGCATCCCTTCTCTCTCCCCACCCCCACCATGGTTCATGCCAGTAACCTGTGTCTCCTGGGTATGTCTCCTATGTCCGTTATGTTTGCAGGTGAATGGCGCATGGCGGAATCTTCCATGCCAGGTGGGCAGCCGTATCCTGATTTTCCGCAGAGGGTGGGATACTGTTGTGAGCTGTCCTTTTGGCCTCAAGGTGGCCTTTGATGGCGGCAGCCACCTGGTCCTGGCGCTGCCTAGGAGCTACGCAGGACGAGTGGCTGGTCTCTGTGCGAACTTTGATGGAGACCCAGCCAATGACCTGTTCCCCATATTGGGGCCTCCCCCAGTCTCTGGCCTGTCTAGTGCCTTGGCCCTGGTCCATAGCTGTCGTATTGGGGCAACTCAGGGCTGTAGGGAAGAGGTGGAAGAAAGCTGGCAGGGCACAAGTGGCAAGTGTAAGGGGGCCATCAGTGGCTGTGATGTCCTCATAGCCCCTGATGGACCTTTCCATCCATGCCACCATCGACTGCCCCCCCAAGGCTTCTTCAATGACTGCCTTCGAGATGCATGCCTCATTCCTAGGAGAGGGGCCTGCCCAATCATTGGGGACTATGCTGCTGCCTGCCAGGAGGAGGGGATTCTCATCTATCCATGGAGGACCCCAGACTTCTGCAGTGAGTGCAGGGATCCTGACATCTGGGCCCTTATCCCCTAAGGGAGCCAGGTGTCAAGGCCTCAGGGGTTCAGGGAACTGACTTTTAGGCCTCAACCATCCAGGCATCTAAGCCCCTTTCCCCCCAGGAATCCAAACATTCATGCATCTGACTTCAAAAGGAAATGGGGAAGGTTGGGGGTCCCCAGGTAGCATGCATTCACTTGGCCTAATTCCCCACAGGCCCGCCATGCCCTGCTCACTCCCACTATGAGCTGTGTGGGCCAGCTTGCCCAATCACCTGTGGGAGCCTCTCGGGGCCTGCAGGCTGCCAGGCTGGACGATGTCGAGAGGGCTGCGTGTGTGACAGAGGCTTTGCGCTGAGTGGGGCAAGATGTGTCCCCCTACATCAATGTGGCTGCCTCCTCTCTGGCCACTACTATGAACCAGGCCTCCAGCTCCCAGAGATTTGGGGGGCGCCGTGCAGAGGCCCCTGCATCTGCCAGCCTGGAGGCCAAGTATTCTGCCCCTGCAGGGCTTCCCAGGGTGCCCTGGCCCCTGGGGTCTCAAGCCCAGGCCTCTGCCTGGTGTCTGGAGGCCCTCATTGTCGAACCTTTGATGGTGCCACCTTCCGCCTCCGCGGGCACTGCTCTTACACCCTGGCTGGTACGGTGCCCAACTGCCCAGCGGGCCTCCCACCCTTTTCAGTGACAGTGGATAATGAGCCCTACAGGGCCGCTATCAGTCGTATTGCCCTCACTGCTGCTGGACACCACTTTGGCCTTGACCGTGGGGACTGGGGCTATGTCACGGTGAGTGGTTCCAGCCCTTGGCGTCCCTGACTTGCCTTGGGAGCTGGAGAGAGGGCAGGGCCAAGGGCTCCCAGACTGGGGAAAGGCAGGGATGGAGAGCAGGACTCAGGGCCAAGGCAGGGGATAAGATCACTCTCAATCCCTTTCTCTAGCTAGATCTCTGAGTATCATTCTGTTGCTTACATGTCTTAATTCATCTCTTGCTATTTTTCTGTGCATCCTTTTGTCTGTCTCTCCATCTCTTTTCTGTCTCTGTTCTTCCTCTTTCTCCCATCTCTCCACCCCTTACCTCCTTTCTTCTCTCCTTATTTTCTTCTTCCTCATCTCCCTGACTTTGTCACTGACCCCCCAAAGCCTGCAGATTATTCCCTGATTTCAGGGTGTCTCCCTGACTCCATCTCTTTCCTGACCCAGGTGGATGGAGTACGATGCTGTCTTCCATTTGGGCTTCCTGGAGGTGGGGTCCGAGCCTTCATGCAGGGGGCATCGATGGTGCTGGTGGCCCGAGGAGGGCCTCGCCTGCTCCTGAGCCAGGACCCCCACCTCAGCCTGACGTTGTCTGCTGCCTATCAGGGCTATACTCTGGGGCTGTGTGGGAATTATAATGGTAACAGTGCGGATGACCTACTGTCCTTGGCCCCAGGCCCTGGACTTCAGTCCTGCCCTCTGCCCCAGCCCTGCCCCAGCCCCGGCTGCCCCACTGTGGGGGAGGCTGCGGGTGCCCCATTCCAGGGGTCCAATTCCTGTGGCCTCCTGATGGCAGCCCAGGGCCCGTTCGCCCCCTGCCACGGGACTTTGTCCCCCGGACCTTTCTTCCAAAGTTGCCTGGCCGATGTCATCCATGGCCGGGGGAGCCACCCCGTCCTATGTCGCTGTCTCAGGAGCTATGTGGCTGCCTGCCAGGAGGCAGGTGCCCGTGTGCTGCCCTGGAGGAGCTCAACACTTTGCCGTGAGTTTGGGCACCAGCAGGCCGCTGAGGGAAAGGGTTGGCTACAGCTATGTTGAGAGGCCCAGGACTGGTGGATAGGCAGGGGACCAAGTCTGGGAGGCTAGCGACTGGGCTGGTTGTTTGGGGTCAGACAGAAGGGCGGGTGCTGACTGAGCACCAAGACCAAATAGGACAGACGGAGATAGGGAGCATGTGGGTTTGGGGACCAGAGGAGACGGGGCCCCAGGCAGGGCAGGGAATCTGATGGGGATAAGGCTGAAAGGGTGGGGCTCAGGGAAGATTTGGGGGCCGGGGAGGCTTTGGCACCTGACTGCCCACCTCTGTTCCCATAGCCATGCAATGCCCTAGGAATAGTCACTACAGTCTGTGCGCAGACCCTTGTCCGGCTGCCTGCCCAGGCGTCCAAGCCATTGTCCGGATCCCGGCCCGATGTGCTGAGGGCTGCCAGTGTGACCCAGGCTTCTTCCCAGCTGCAGGGGCCTGTGTTCCCCTGGAAAACTGCCCCTGCTTCCACCGGGGCCTCTACTTTTCAGTGAGAGTGTTGGGATGCTCTTCCCCTCCCCTGTCAGTGTCCCTGCCCTCCTCCCTAAACCCCTCCCTCCCTTCCGGCCCCAGGGTTCACATTTTGCTCTGACCTTGATCTTCTGGTCTGAGCTCTCTCTCTTCTGCCTTCAGCCCAGCCAGCCAGTCCTCACTGACCGCTGCACTTTTGCCTGCTCCTGCCAGCCCGGGAAGGGTGTGACCTGTGTCCCACACCAATGCCCCGAGGGCCACATTTGCAGCATCAGCAATGGGAGCCTCAGCTGCCTTGGGCCAGGTGACCCGGATGCTAGTATCCCTTAGGAAGGTTCTGAGTGCTTGGGGATCTGAGGGCATGGTGCTGGCTAAAAACAATCGAGCCTGGATTCTCAGCCAGGCTGGGGCCTGGGGAATCAGGAAGCTCCTAGATTCTTGGGGGGAGGGGAATGCTACTGTCTCCCCAGTTAGAATGTAAGCTCTTAGAGAGTAGGGATTGTTTCATTCTGTAGAGTTGTGACCCCAGGGCCTAGCCCGATGTCTGACACATAGGAGGTGCTTAATAAACACTTGATAATTGATTGATTAATTAACTAATTAATTATTTGGATGCCTGGGGTCCCCCAAGTTAGGGAGGTGATAAGTACAGAACACCTAGGTCTCCAGGGAAATGGGGCCAAGGGGCTGGACCCTTGGGTGCCTAACTCTTCCCCTCTCTTCTCCTCCAACAGCTTACCCTCAGGTGCCCCCAATGGTCCCGCTGACCCCACCACTGGCCCCAGGCATCGGCCCTGCCTGTTCTTTATATTCTCGCTATGTCCCCTGTGGCCCAGCCTGTCCAGCTACATGTGCCAACCCAGCAGCCCCGGCTCACTGTAGCCAACCCTGCGCCCCAGCCTGCCAATGTGTGCCAGGCCGACTGCTACTGGCTGGACGCTGTGTGCCCAGTGGGCAGTGTGGCTGCCTCCTAAGGCCAGGCAAGGCCTTCTGGACAGAGGGCTGTGCCCGGCGCTGCCGCTGCCCGGCAGCTGGGGGCCCCTGGAGTACTGGCATCCAGTGCTGGCCTGCCCGGTGCCAGGGCCGCTGTGAAGAGGCCTCTGGCGGGGGGCATCGCTGCCAGCCGATCCGTCTGGGCTCTGGGCCCCAGAATGTCACCTGCACTGCATCTGGTGATTTCCGCTTCCAAACTTTTGGGGGTACCAGATACAGTTTCCCTGGCTCTTGTGTATACCGGCTGGCAGGCCCCTGCAGTACCGGGGGGAGTAGTGGCCTTGGCCCCTTCTACTTGGACATGGCCACACACATCCGACCTCTTGGCTGCTTCAAGTCACTGACCCTGAGGGCCTGTGGCCTCAGAATGGACATGAGCCCCGTGGACCCAAACCTTCTCCGGGTGAGGCCTGCCCCCTCAGCCATCACTCCCTCTACTCCTCACTGACATCTTCCTGACACCCTCCTGAGGCCTCACTAATTCTTTCCTCAGGGACGCTCAGTGACCCTTGCAGACTCATCCCTGCCCTTCCTAATCATCCCACAATTTCCCTTCTTCCCTTAGGGGAACACAAGGGCTGTCTGCAAGTATTTGAACTTCCAAGCCCCTTTCTACCTGGCTCCAGCCCACCTTCCCAGGTCTATCCCACATTTTCCTTCCCATATTCCAGCCTCATGCTCCTTCTCCTTGGGCCCCGTCTCCACGCCTTTGCACGAGCTGCCTGGAATGCACTCCCTCTTCACTTCCAAATCTTGGAACCCCTAGCTCTCTTCAAGGCTCAGCTCACAGCTCCACCTCAAAAACCAGGCCTCTCCCAAGTCCCCCGGGCCCCAGCTGCTAGCTTTCTCCCCGCTGCGTCTACTTATCAGTATGCACGTTGTTTTCTCTCAATAGGTTGCAAGTTCTGAGCAAGGACTGTTGTATTATTGCCTTGGCATCCTCAGAACTAGCACAGTGCCTGGCATATAAGAGGGACTTAATAAGTGTTTGTTGAATGACTGAGGAAAAAGGATTAGATTGGTGTGCTCCCAGAGGACCACTTGGTGGTGACCTCGATGCAGAAAACTTGTTATAAAGGGAAAACTTGCCAGCTGTCCTTGAGTTAAAAGGGCTGCCTGCCCAGGGCGCTAGGCCTGGCTTAATGAGATTCTTAGGTTCCTGGAGCTGTTCTTTGGATGCTAGGCTCCCCAAGGCTGGAATGACTAGGCATTAGGAGCCCTGGGCTTGGAAGAACTGGACACAAGTCCTCTTGCCTTCTGAATAACCAGATACCTGGGTCCTCCTTTCCCACAGGTAGATGGCGTCCTTGAGTTGCTGCCCTTCTTCCGTGGACGCTGTCTCCGGGCCTATACCTGTGGGGGTCAGCTGTGCCTGGACACAGCCTCAGGCCTCTCTCTGACCTATGACTGGGACAGTCTGGTCCGGCTCTCAGTACCCCGGGCCCTTGCCGGAAGCCTGTGTGGGCTCTGCGGGGACAGGGCTGGAGGAATACCATCGTCTCCACTCTCTAGCCTGGCCGGTTCCTGGAAGGTGGCCGAGATCCCTGGCTGTGGCCCATTCTGTGGGCCACGCTGTCCACTCCCCTGCCCAGCTACTCAGAGTGGTCGCTACCGAAGGCTGGGCTACTGCGGACTTCTGGGTGCCTCGGCCGGACCTTTGGCCCCCTGCCACCGGGTCCTGAACCCCGTGCCCTTCATGGAGGACTGCCTGGATGATGTGTGTCAACACCGGGGCTGCCAGCGGGCTCTGTGCAGAGCCCTCGTGGCCTATGTGACGGCCTGTCAAGCACAAGGGGTCCGTCTCAGGCCCTGGAGGACGCCCAGTTTATGCCGTGAGTGACAGGGCCAGAGGCCAGGGTCCCCGGGGTGCTGGGGGCCAGGGAGCCAGGCACCAGAGTCCTTCGTGGGTAGAGGATGGACACCCAGATCACCAGGCTTGGGATGGAGGGAGCAGGGAAGAGGCTTTGAAGATGTGTGCTGGTCGACACTGGATTAATTGGAATATTTCTCTTTCTTTCCTTGATACTTTTTCCATCTCCATGTTTCTCTCCTGGTCTGTATCTTCTCTGTCTTCCATTTACCCCCTGACTGTCTCCCTGGTATTTGATCTTTCATGTTTTCTTCTGTCTCTCCCGTGCCTCTGGCCCCCCTGGGCTGTGTCTCTGTTTCTGTCCTATCACTCCTCTGTCTCTGGTCTCTCTTTCCCTGCCTGATTTCTCTCTCTTTCTTCTGCCCCTCTTTCTGTCTCTCTTTCTTCTATAATTCTCTGGGGTGTTTCTCTCTTCTAATTTCTGTCTCTGTCTCTATCTCTGTGTCTCTCTATCTCTATGTCTCTCTCTCTCTCTCTCTCTTTCTCTCTCTCATCTTTCTCTCTTTCTTTCATCTATATCACCTCCATGTCTCTTTCTCTCCCTACCCATCCTGGACCCCCAGCACTTCAGTGCCCGGCTCATTCCCACTACGAGCTATGTGGACCACGCTGCCCCCTGACATGTGGGGACCTGAAGGGAGCCAAGGACTGCCAGGCTGGGGATCATTGCCAAGAGGGCTGCGTGTGCAATGCTGGCTTTGTGCTTAGCGGGGCGACCTGTGTGCCAAGGGACCACTGTGGCTGCCTCCAGGCGGGCCGCTACCATGCACTAGGGACCACTTGGTATCCAGGCCCGGGGTGCGAGAGGCGATGTCATTGTGGTGCAGGTGGCACTGTGTCCTGTGGGCCAGGAACCTGCAGCTCCCATGAGGTCTGCACCATCCATAGGGGAATTCGAGGCTGCTTCCCAGATGGTCGGGTCACCTGCTTTTTGGCAGGGCCAACACATGGCCTGACCTTCGATGGTCGTGTCTTTGGAGGCCTGGCTGGACAATGTGCTTATCTGCTAGCCCGGGCTACTGGCTCTGGTCTGGAGCCCTTTGGCCTCCAGGTGGAAAAGGATGAGGCTGGACCCCGTCAAATTCGTCTTAATCTTTATGGGCATCAGCTAGTTCTAGATCGCAGAACACCTGGCATTATCATGGTGAGACCCCATGACCCAGACCCTGGGGTTCCTGGGAGAATCTTGGATGCTGGGGGCCTAGACTCTGAGCTCCCCAAGAAGGCGTAAGGACTAGTACTTTGGCCCTTTGGCCACCAGGGTGCTTGAAAGGGGCAAATGCTGAGAATCTTTACCCTTGGTTCTCATCCCCTGAGGTCCTCTAGAAGGGATGAGATGAAAAGGACTCCAGCTGAGATACTAAGACCTTAGGAGTTCAGGACCAGGGGAAATTGGAAGCCGGGTGGGGGAGGCTGGGGGCCTAAATCCGATTAATTAATATCAATCCAAAGAGCATTTACTAATTTGCCTACCATAGGCAAGTCACTGGGAGTGCTCAATTTGGAATTAGAGGAGTTGGTTCAAATCCTCCTTCTAAACAACTTCCTAACCTCAGTTTCTTCCTCTGTAAAATGAGAGGGTTGTTTCTAGATAATCTCTGAAGTTCCTAAATCTATGATCCCCTTCTCCCCCAGCAACAGACTAGACGCCTTCTCCCTCGGGGGCCCTTTTTAGCCCTAAATCTGGGTGGCTGAAGCTGTGATTACTGGGAGGGTCTGGACGGACGTGAGAGGAGCCAGAATTCCAAGGACCCAGACAGTGACGTTGCTCTCTCCTCTGTCTCACCAGCTAGATGGAGAGCGCTGCCGGCTACCTCTGGTCCTGCCTGGAGGGCGCCTGTGGGTCACCCGGGAGGGCCGGTTGGTGGCCGTCCAGGCAGCCTGTGGCCTGCGCCTTTTCTATGACTCTGCCCGACACCTGCGGCTGACCGTCCCGTCCACATACCAGGGCCGCCTCTCTGGGCTCTGTGGGAACTTCGATGCGGATGGTGGCATAGGTGACTTCGGCCCCACGGGCTCTTTGGAAACCTTTGTGGTCAGCTGGGCCCTTCCCGGGCCCGGCCCCTGTTCTCCTACTGGGCCCTGCCCTCCCTGTCCCCCGGGGCTAGACGCAGCCTTCTCAGGACCCTCAGCCTGTGGGCTCCTCAGGCTGCCAAGAGGGCCTTTCGGCCACTGCCACAGCTTCGTACGGCCTGATCCCTTCCATGGATTCTGTCTACGAGACATGTGCCGGGGCCGTGGAGGCCGACTGGGGCTTTGTGATTCACTGACCGCTTACACAGAGGCCTGCCAGGAGGCAGGGGCCCTCATGCAACCCTGGAGGGGTCCCAAACTGTGCCGTGAGTGACTCCCCATCTCTGGGCAGGGGACACAGAGGGTGGACCTGGCCTTGGTTTGGCCACAGAAGGGGGACCACCCCAGGACACAGGGGAAGACCAGGGCTCTGGGCCCAGGCTTCCACCTTTAATCTGGATTTCCAGTCAGTCAAGCAGTGAAGGGATGCTGCCCTCCCTGGGGATCTGGCAGCTATCACAGGCCTTAGGAGCATGCCTCAGAGTCTGGTCAGCCTCCTGGCCAGTCCTTTTATTCTCTTACCTGTTTCCTTTTTTTTTTTTTTTTAAAGGCAAATGGGGTTAAGTGACTTGCCCAGGGTCACACAACTAGTAAGTGTCAAGTGTTTGGTCTGAGGTTGATTTGAACTTAGGTCCTCCTGACTTCAGGGCCTGGGCTCTATCCACTGCACCACCCAGCTGTCCCAATAACTGTTTCCTTTTGCCTGTTGCCCCTTCCTCCTTCCCATCAGGGTTCCCAGAATCCCAGAGCTAGAAGGGATGTCAGATGCCCCTTGTTGCCTCTTGAGTGTCCACCCACCAGCCTCTAGCTTTTCCTTAAAGGCCTCTCTCCCGTGAGAGGGAGCCCACTACTTCCCAAGGTCCCCTGACCTCTTGAACAGCTCTCATTGGGAAGAAATTCTTCCTGAGGTCAAGCTAGATGTGGTCCTTGGTAACTTCTCCCTCTCGCTCCCAGTTTGGGCAAAACAGGGCTAACAATGCTTGAAGATATTATTCCGTCCCTGGTGAATCTTTTCTGCTCCTGGCTAAGCAGTCCCAGGCCCTTTCATTGGGCCTCCTGTGGTCTGATCTTGGGTCCCCTGACCATCCCGGTGACCCTTCCCTAGACAATCTCCAACTTGCCAATAATCTTCCTCCAGCGTGGTTCCCGGAAGAGAACACAACTGCAGAGGTGAGATCACCAAAGAGTATCAGGAATAACAAATTTCTCTCTTTGGGGACAATGCCTTTCTTACCTCATTCAAAGACTTATATTGAGCTTGTGGTCCACTACAACCCCCAGATCTTTGTTAGCAGGATAATTACCTAATATCTAGGAAGTTGATTTTTCTGACCATGTAGGATTTTCTACTTATTGCTATTAAATTTAAGTTGATTAGATCAACCCATCATTCTAGCTTGTCAAGACCTTTTTTGTATCATGACTGACTTTTTTTTGTCAGCTCCCTGGCTTTATGCCATCTGAAAATTCAGTAGGCAGATGAATCATTCATGCTGTGTTACTATTAAAAATGAACAGCCCAGGGCCAAGGGCAGATCCCTGAGGTCCTCCACTGAGCACTTCCCTCCACATTGACATTAATGACTACTTTGGATATAGTAATTCCATTGCATTAGCACCTGGAGGGAATCAGGGAGGAGGAGACACTTGGTCTATGAGGATTCATGTCTGCATCCCAGACATCAGGGACAGAGAGAGGAGTTAGAATGAGGAGTTTGCAGAATAGCTGATTGGCCAGTATGACTGGAATGGAGAAGGCCTGAAAAGTATGCCTCCTTAATATATAATGCTGGCCCACCTCCACCCCCCTTCACCTGCCCTACAAAATGCATACTCAGTGGTGTGTTGATAATTGTTTAACAACTGGCTTTCGGGTAGTGGGGATGAGGTGGGAATATGTACTCATGGCACACTTCTAAATTTAACATGCATCATTAACACATTCTCCATCACTTGGACAATAAATCAGGCCTGATCTGTAACCTTTGGCAATTTCCAAGGTGTAAATGGTCACATGGAAAATTTAACAATCAGCTCTTGCAAGCCAACATGAGCTGGCACCAGCACCTTCCTGTGTATGTCTATCCAGAGCTATATTCCAGTCGTATTGTTTCATCCCACCCGTGACACCCAGGAGGTCAAACTTGTCTTTTTTTTTTTTTTCAATGTTAGGACTTCAAATTCTTCTTCCTTGTTGACTAAATGTGGGGGATTTATCTATAGACACTTGAGGTCCTACGTTTGCTCCCTGTTCATCTCTTGGATTTTGTCTCCTGGGGACTTCTGGGTGTCTGCTTTCCTTCTTTGTCTCTCTGGGATCCAGCTTGGTGAATAAATAGAGTTGGTTTTCTCCCTCTCCCATCCTTTTTCACGTTAAGTCTTATTTTGTTAGACTCGCAAGACAGTAAGCAAACACATTCTTGCTGACCTTAAGTCAATGCACTCCATCTCTGGCCAGAATCCCATTCTTGGATACCATCTTCTTTGCTGTTCACTTCCCAACTCCAATTGTTCTCTTCTAAATCCTTGCCTTCAGTGGTTGGAAGTGATCAAAACTCCACCTATGCCCTTAGGGTCTTCAGTTTCTAATCCAAGATTTTCTGTTTGGCAAATACTTTGGCCAGACTTGCTAGGTTCCTTCTGGCAGTATAATTTGTGCCCCTGTGAATCACCACCAGTCAGTAGTATTCACCCATTCTGACAGGTCTTGAGAGGTACCCTGTTATAGCTTGGATACATGCCCCAGGAAGCCAAATGATTTCTCGTTGCTACTAGGTTGACATACAGCAGTATTCAGCAACTCACATGTTGGAGCAGAGAAGGCAGATGAGGAAGGGGGGAAGTGAACCAGCATGGGCAAGATGTGACTGGCGTTAGGACCAGGAAGGAAAGGGTTGGAGGATTAGCTGAGAAGAAATGGCCAAACTGCCGGACCATAGAGACAAGATTGTGAAGGACAGAGCAGTGAGGCCAGAGCTGGGGTGATGGGGCAATTGGCTTCCAATAAGCCTAAAGAACAGGGTTAGGAAGAGACTGGGAGGGAGAGATCAAAAGGTAGGAGGCATTGAGGTAGCTGAGCCTACCTTGCCTCAGACCCAATCCTCGCCTTCTGCCCTCAGCCCTGAGATGCCCACCCCGGAGTCATTACAGCATCTGTGCCCGTACGTGTGACCTTGGCTGTGCTCCCCTCCTCCGTCCTACTCGCTGCTCACCTCAGTGCTTCGAGGGCTGTGAGTGTGACCGTGGCTTCATCTATGATGGGGCACGTTGCGTACCGCAGGAGCGATGTGGCTGTTTCCACCTTGGCCGTTATATCCGGGTGAGCAGGGGTCGCTGGGGGAGAGAATTCAACTCAATTCAACTCATTTCTAAGCATTTGTGTGCAGGACCCTGAGCCAGGCATTGAGGCAGAGACAGTTTAGACACTATAGTCCCTGCCCCCAAGGAGTTTACAGTTTTTGAAAGGGCTAAGACAGAAATACAGATAACTGTAAATGTACAACATTACATGAGAAGTGTATTAGAAGATAAAAAGCAAAGTCTATTGGTGGGGGCTGGAAGGAGGTCATAACCACCTGGGAGAATCGGGGAAAGTTTCCTTGAGGAAATGGTATATTCTAATTGGGCTTTAATCCATCTGTCAACCTGCAAGCATTTACTGAGCACCTACTGTGTGCCAGCCACTATGATTCAAGGAGTTTACATTCCGATAAGGGTGGCAATATGTACACATAGGAGTAGATACAAAAGAAATTCCAGGTAATTGGTTGGTGGGGAGGGGGAGTGATTGGCAATGGGGGGTGGGGTGGGGAGGTTTGTCAGGAATGGCAGCACTTGAAACTTGAAGGAAACCAGGGATCTTAAAAAGCGGAGGTGAGGAGGAAAGGTATTCCAAGTATCTCGATTCCCCCTTCCCCCATTCCCAGTTTGTCTGATGAGATCACAGGAAGAAAACAAGCATTTATAAATGCCAGCTGTGTTCCAGGCACTGTACCAAGTGCTTTACAAATATTATCTCATTTGATCCTTACCACAGTCCTGGGAGGTCAGCGCTATTGTTATCCCCACTTCACAATAGAGGAAACTGAGGCCAACAGATTAAGTGACTTGCCCAGCTCACATAGTTAGTAAGTGTGTCTGAGGCTGGATTTGAACTCAGGTCTTCCTGATTCCAATGCAGGCCCTGCAGTCTAGCCACTGTACCACCTACCATTAGGCACAGAGTGTAGTTATACATGATGATGTTTTAACATGATGTATCTATGGTTTATGATCTCTTTATGATGTGAGAACCTCTTCATTGGATGAAGAGGTTGTCCGAGCAAACAAGCCAGTCATACCTTTCGGGGCATTAAGTGTCTGGATGAAGTTCAGCCGTTACATTTTGAGAGCTGAGGAATCCAGGATTTGTGGGGGAGATCCCTGAGGGAGGGGACTTTCCTCCCCACCCTGACTGGCCATGTCATCATACTGGACCAGTAAGAAACAGTGCATCCAGCCAGGAACAGAAACATATGCCTGAGAAGAGATAAGGATATAGAAACTAGTTAGCCAAGGGAGGAAACAGCTTCAGGGAGCCTGACGCCCTCCCAGCACAGAAAAATGCCAGCTATGAACTCAAGAAAGGCGTAGACCCTGGGAGCCTAGCTGAGTAACCTACCAAGCACAGTGTGCTCCAGGAAATCTGCATGAGGACTCTTCAGAGAGAAAAAGGGATCACGTGGTAGCACTAGGAGATGCAAGTTGCCTTTTGTCCCACCTGTTTGCTATACATTTGCCTCAATACCCAGTACTCTGAGTTTAAGTTCATTCCTCTCATGGATGCTTTGTGGCAGAATGCACCCTAGGTTTTAGAGAGGTAGTTTGGTCACTATTCTCACCACATTGTCTTTGTAAATGCCTTTGCTAAAAAAGTAAGTCTTTCTACCTGCTGTTTGTTAATGGTTGCACGCTGGTGAGGGCTCACGAGTTACATTACTGGGAGCCACTGGAGCTTTAAAAGATGGGTAGGGATTTAATAGACAGAGAGGAGGAGAGGAGCTTACTCTAAGTACAGGGGAGAGCAGGAGCTAAGGCAAAGAGCCCTCAGGACATATAGCTCGTGTGATGAGTGGGCAGGGAGCTATCCAGTCTGTTCAAAACATAGGGTCATTAGAGGAGAATTAGGCTAGAAAGATAAGATGGCACCAGATCATGTCAGGCCTTGAATGACAGTCAATTGACAATCAGTCAATCAACAAGCATTTATTAAACACCAACTGTATCATGGTCACCCTGCAGCTATGCCAATGGCCCAGAGAGATGGTTATGAGGGCTTGTACTGGGCCGGTAAAATGAGAAGGGGATAGACAGAAGAGATATTGCTTGGAGATGAGTGGAAAAGAAGAGGAAGCACGAAAATCAATGTAGTGAAAGAGCGCTGGCTTTGGAATCAGAGATCCTGAGTTCAAATCCCATCTCCAGCTCTTACTACTTGTATGGCCTTGGCCAAATTTCTTCCCCCTCTAGGCCTCAGTTTCCTCATTTGTAAAATGAGTTGGTTGGACTAGGTCATCACTAAGCTCTCTTCCAGCTCCAGAGCTGTGATTTCATGAGAAATCAAACTGAGGTTATAACCATGGAAGGAAAGAAACAAACATTTATTAAGCACCTACTATGTGCCAGGTACTATGCTAAATACTTTACAACTATGATCTGGTTTGGTCCCACAACAACCCTGGGAAGCAGGTACCCATTTTACAGCTGAGGAAACTGAGGCAGACATCAGTGAAGTGACTTGCCCAGCGTCACACAGCTTGTATATTTCTGAGGCCAGATTTAAACTCATCTTCCTCACTCTAGGCCTGGTGATCTATCCAATGTGCCATTTAATTGCCCCTAGGGAGTTTAAACAAATAATAGCCTCCCAGACATAAAGAAGGAAGCCAGGAGGGACAAATCAAAGTTAATAAACATTTATTAAGCACCTACTATGTACTGTGCTAAGTGCTGGGACAAAAGAGTCCTCAAAGGAACTTCTATTCTCTTATTTTTAGAAAGGAAATATGTTCATTTCAGTATGAAAGACCCCTGAAACAACAAGTGAAAATTTCCCAAAGCCAAGTGTCACCCAAACTGCACCTGTACACGGATTTGTTTTGTTTTGTTTTGTCTAGGCAATGGGATTAAGTGACTCACTCGCCCAGGGTCACACAGCTAGTAAGTGTTATGTCTAAGACCAGATTTGAACTCAGGTCCTCCTGAATCCAGGGCTGGTGCTCTATCCACTGCACCACTTAGCTGCCCCTGTGTACGGATTTGGAAAGGCAACCACACGGAGAGTGGATCCCAGGCAGGGCTTGGGCCTAAGCTCAGAGAATGGCTGGTGTCCCAGTTTGAGTAGAACAGAGTTCTCCAAAGAGAATAATGGGAAATAAGGCAGTGGGAGACAGGCGGAGGGTGGGTTCGGGAGGGTGGGGGAGAGATGTTGGAAACAGAAAGATGATATTTCTGGGGCTAGTACAGTGTTCAGGTGAAAGTTGATGAAGCGGCCGTGTAGGTGGAGAGAAGGGAATGGGTGGGAGACATGTTGTGGAATTGGCATTGACTAGCCATAGAGTGATGGAGAGAGAAATCTAGGGTGATTCTGAAGTCACAAACCTAGGCAAGAGGGTAGGACCCAAAATATGTGAGTGGAAAGGTCAGGGGTCAGGGCCCCAGAGTACATCGGACCTCAACGTTTCAGAGTTGCCACAGAATCCTAGACTAGGAGGGTAGGACGGCACCAGATCATATCAGGCCTTGAATGACAGGGAGAGAAATTGGAATTTTACTTGGAAAACAATAGGTTTTTTTTTTTCCCCATGGAGGAACGACAGAACCAGATCTTTCTGTAAGGAGGATTGCTTATGCAAGAAGTAAGGGGAGAGTGACCCGGGGCAGACCTGTTAGGAGGTTATCCATCAGTCAGTCAACAAACACTTAAGTCTGGTCACTGACCTGGTTCCCTCTGGGTCTGAGTATGATGGGGATGTGTCATTATCACATTCATACTTGTATGTACTGATGCAGAGTGAGGTATGCAGGACTTGTGAACATTTTCTTTCCAAGGGAATGTGCCATTGGGGCTGGTAAGCTTGCCTCTACAGTCACTCAGGGTCCAGAGTCAGAGGTGGGTAGGGAGAATAGAGATTCACCTTCCTGCTTAGAGACCCCAGATTAAGGCTGGAAAGGACCCCTGAGGTCTTCCAGTCCAGGGCCCTCATCCCCCCAAAAGATGAAATACTTTGCCCAAGGTCACAAGGGTAATAAGTGGTGGAGGGCAAATTTGAACCCAGAGCCTCTAACCACAGGGTAGAGTGTGCTACCCTGTCAGCAGCTGAGAAACCTGTGGTTATCGATCCTCAATCATCTTCTCAAGCAAGTGATGGAGACGTTAGAAGCTGCCCACAGTCGAGCCGGCCTGAAGATCCAGTTGGATGGGGCAAGTGAGCTGACATAGGAAAATGCTTTGGAAACCGGAAGCATTTCATCCGCATTAGCTATGGTTTGTTGTTATGGTCACAAGAGAAGGCCTTAGGAATGTCATCAAGGAGATCTGAATCACTGTAATGATGGCAGGTGGCACTTACATAGCACCTACTATGTGCCAGGCACCGCGCTGAGCTTCACCCATACGATCTCCTTCGATCCTCACAATGATCCTCAGAGGGAGGTGCTGCTATTATCCCCATTTTTCAGGTGAAGAAACTGAGGCAAACAGAGCTTAAGTGACTTTGTTCAAGGTCACACAGCTAGAGAAATTTGAACTCAGGTCTTCCTGACTCCACTTCCAGCTCTCTCCATGGCGCCACCTAGCAGCCAAGAAAAGCAACACTCAGAGTGGCGCTCTAATTTCTCGGCTTATGTACAATTTTTTTTTATTTTTATAAATAGTCTTTTTTCCAATTATACATAAAGATGTTTTTCGACATTCATTCTTAATAAGATTTTGAGTTCCAAATTTCGCTCTCTCCTTCCCTTCCCAAGACAGTAAGCAATCTGATATAGGTTACACCTGTGTAATCATTATATACAATTTTTAAAAAAGAGTTTATTGATCTTTTTTTCACCTTTATTTCTGAATCTATCCTACCCTCCTCTGCCCAATGAGTTATCCTGTATAATGAAGAATTTTCTTCAGAGAGGAAAAAAATAATCCAACAATTATTTTTTTCATTTTTTGAAGGTTAGATTTTTTTATTGTTACGTACTTCTAGCTGCCTACCAACACATCAACCCAGTCTAATAAGGTGACATTCCACACCTACTGCCCGTACCTGCGAAATGCAGGGAGGTACATTTTCCAACAGAGCCCAAACAGCTCGCTCTCTTAAATTACAAAGCATTCAGTCTTAGTCTTTATTTACTATCGTTCTTTCCACTTACACTGTCCTGGTCTTCTCCTACACCGTTTGCCTGGTTCTGTTTCTTTCCTTCTGCAGTTCACAGAAGCCCTGCCCAGCTCCTGTGAATCCTTCCTATCCATCCTTAAGGCACAGTAAGATTCCATTACATTCGTGTGCCCATCTGGTCAGTCACTCCTCAGTTGGTGGGATCACGCCTAATTTTTATCCACTCCCTGATCCCTGGGGAAGGTGTCTGGTGCATGTGTCTGCAGGCAAACGGTCGCTTCTACACTCTGTGTACATTAAGGCAGTTAATAAGAAAAAAGACGCCCCCCTCCCACACACACACCCTAAAAGAGGAATTGAGGGGTGTAGTGGAAAGAACCCCAGCTCTGGAGTCAGAAGACCTGGGTTCAAATTCCACCTTTGTTGTCTACAATGTGTATGACCTTGGACAAGTCACTTCCCCTCCCTGGGCCTCAGTTTCCTCATCTGTAAAATGAAGTCCCTAAGGTTCCTTCCGGCTCAAAAGCTATGCTCCTATGGAAAAAAAAAAACAAAAACAGAGCCTTGGGGAAGCCAAGGGAATCATCATATTAACAGGCTAGAAGTGTGAAGAGGCAGTGGGGAATGAGACAGAGAAAGAAATGGGTCTAAAGGGAGGAGAATCAGTGAGAGTGGCATCTGTGGTGGTCAAGGTGGGGTCAGTGTCACGAGGTCAGAGAGGCTGAGGCTGCTAGAATTCTCCGGAGCATATGTTCTTCGGATGGCAAAGACCTGGAAGCCACGGGGCTGACAAAGAAATTTCTGATGCCTTGGGGCAACGTGGCTCTAGGAACAAGGAGGAATTAGGAGTCGACTGGTCCAGAAGGAAAAGAGATGTGCACAGCAGCTCCAGTCACGCAAACAAGAGACAAAACAAAGCTGTGGATGACTTAAAATGCCCCGCTGCGTCCCGGAGAGGACATGGAAAGGTGCACCTCCTTCCTTTCCCTGGAGAGGTGGGCGAGGAAGGGGCTGGAACAGCGCGTCAGCGCTGGCCATTCCTCTGTTCTTTGTCACCAGGGAGGGCTCTTTAGATGGGGAGAGATGGAAAGCAACCCGGAGGTAAAAACAAATGTTACCAATACAACTTTTTTTTTTTTTTAAGAAAAAAGAAAGACAATTAATTTGCCAATTAAGAGGTGACCTCTGTGAGAAGTTTCAGGAGGGTGATGAGGGTAGAAATCAGATTGTGCTGGGCCTGAAGAGAATGTAGGGAGTGGGGAAGTGGAAGCCCCAGGCCGCTTTTCCCAAATGAGTCAGGATGTATTGGCCTTCCAATATGGCAAGGGGAGGCTTGTTGGGGGCATGTTTTAGCAAAGAACCAGCAAGGAAGACGCTGAAGGCACTGGTGAAGGAATGACTTCGGGGACCAAGGTCCCAGAAGGTGCAGGAAAGGAGGAAATTGAGGATGCAGGCAATCACCATAGCTGCTTACTTTTTTATAGGACTTTTCTGGGGGAGGGGAAATTGAGGATTTTTTATGGGTCTACGATATGTCAAGCATTGTGCTTTACAATATTACTTAATTTAATCATCACAACTATTCTGAGAGGTAGGTGCTATTATTATCCCCATTTTACAATTAAGGAAACTGAGGCAGACAGAAGTTAAATGACTTGTCAGGAGGTGGGGGGGAGGCACAGTGTGGACTCATAAGCTTGATGCCAGATTTGACCTGTTCCTGAGCTGAAGCAATCCACCAGCCTCAGCTACCCTGGGCAGCAGGTATTACAGGTCAATGCTGCACTTCCAAGGCTTACAAACACCTTCCTCAAATTACAGGGATTGTTCTCCATTTTGCAGGTGAGGTAATCAAGGATTTGATCAGAAAAATTCACTTATTGCCTGTGTGACCTTGACAAAATAACTTAATTTCCAGGGGCCTCATTTTGCTCATTGTAAAATGGACTAGATTTATGAGCCCTACCTGTCCAAGGCTCTGTATGACTTAACTTTAGGAATTTAAGACTAAATCTCCAAGTGCAGATCTCTTAAGACAACGGTTGAGACCTTGAAGAAAGAGGAGTAGCCAGTTTGAAATAGTTAGCCTGGGGAATGAGTGAGTGGATTATTGGAGAGGGAGGGTCAGGTCTGACTAGGTGCCCTCCCCTCAGGTCGGGGAGTCTCTGGTCCTCCCAGGCTGCCAGGAACGCTGCATCTGCCAGTCAAGGGGTCGCCTAAGGTGCCAGCCATTCCAATGTCCCCGAGGCTCGGGCTGCATCCTGGACCGAGGTGTGCGCCTCTGCAGGGGGCCTCTGGGCAAGGGCAGTGCCACCTGTCGCCTGGTGCCTGGAGGTCTCTTCACCACCTTCGACGGCTTCCAAGGCAGAGTCCCTATCCTTGCTGCCCCGGGTGCCTATGAGCTGGCAGTCCTGGGTGGAGCTGACTCCCCGAATCCTGCCTGGTTCCGGGTGGTCACAGAATACCCGCCCTGCTCAGCCTGTCCAGCCCCACGGGCATGGGTCGTCACTCGCTTCCGGGATGGCTGCGTGGCTGTGGGGCCCAACAGGGAGGTCTGGGTAAGTTGCTGACCACTTGATAAGTTACCTATCTGAAAGACCCTTATGGATCACATCCACAACTTCAAATGACCTTGTACTTACCTCCCTCAGACAAGAAAAGTTAGGAGGGTCCAGCTTGGGGTCTTGCCCTAAAGTGTCTTCTCTCCTACAATCTAGGCAACTTCTCATTCTTCTCCCCCAGTCCCCAACCCCCTAGGAATACCCGTATCTTTGCCCCCCTCCTCAGCCAATCCCCCTGACTTCCTTTTCTCCTCTTAAGGTGAATGGGCAGAGGGCCCAGCTTCCAGCACCGGTCTGTGAAGGGGTCACAGCCCGATGGGCTAGGGCAGGTAAGGTCCTTGTGGAGAGACCACCCCTTCTCCAGGTGCTGGTGGGGCCAAAAGGTGCAGTGGTCCTAAGGGCTGCTCGAGCCCTAGCTGGGCAGCTACAAGCTGCCTGTGGTGACTTCAATGGGAACGCCCAGGATGACCTTCGACTCAGGGGTGGGCTTCCTGCTACTAGCCTGGAGGACGTCTTCCAGTCCTGTCGAGCTCAAGACTTCAGTCCCTGGTAAGGACCTTTAGCCCTGACCCTTTTCAGGACCTCAGCCCCATAATGCCCCTACCAGGGAATTAAAACCCCTTTTCTGTGACCCCAAGTGTCCATTGTCCGAGGCAGCTCTGGGCCTCCCATGTAGTCCCTCCCCAGGGCCCAGGCAAACAGAATCCCAGACGATCTAGCCCCCAAAAGCCAGGGGACCATCAGTCCCCTAACCCCAGCCTCTATCTCTTGACCCCAGCACAAAGAAGGCGCACTCTCCGGTGTACAACGAAGATTATTTTTCCACTTGATAATGATGTAGCCGCTCTGGTCTGCGGTTACCCCCAACTCCCGCAAAGGCCTGGCACCTCTGACCAGGGCGCTGGCTGTCTCTGCTGAAGTCGTCAATAAATGGATGTTGGCAAATGACCTGAAGCATTTGTGGCCTCGGAACATTCCCCATCCCACACTCTACTCTCTCCTCCTCCCCTATTTACTACCTTCTTCACTGACTCCTGTCTCCCTAGAAAGTCATGGCGCCCAGCCCCTGGGCCCTTGGGGACTTAGTACTACACAGCCCCTTAGGTCCAGATTTGCAGAAATGACCCAACATCCACACTCTGCCCCCCTCTATACCTCCCAAAGAGACCCAGGCTTCTGTCTCCCCCTCTCCCCCATGCTTTCTCAGGGGCCCAATTTCCCTAAGTCTCTGCTCCATCAGAGCCCTGAGGGTCCAGCCTCCCAGCCCGCAGGCACTCAAGCACCCAGTCACTGAATCCCAACAGTTCAGGTGTGGAAAGGACCTTCCTTGACCCTTCCACGGCATTCCAGACAAATGGTCAGCCAACCTTTACTGGAAAGCCTCCAGAGAGAGGGAACCCTCAGACCCTTTATTTCACTTTGGGATGGATTCTCCTGACCTCAAACCTAAACAGCAAATTTGGGCCATCGTCCAGCCGAGGCATTTAGGGTTAGCTCTTCCCTCAGGAGCCAAGCAGAGCAGCCCTAAGCTCACTTCCAAGTGAGTGCCCTTTAGATGCTTGGGACACCATCCCGTCTCCTCCCATCCTAGTCTCAGCCCGGCCAAACGTCCCTCCTTCCGGCCTCCTGCCTCTCTGCGACCTCACGTCCAGTCGTTCAACCCCGCCCCGACCCGGCTGGGGCTCAGCCCAGTGGCTAGGTCCTCTCCTCCTGGGCTGCTCAAGGGCACACGTGGAGCGAAAGGGACCCCCCCCCCTCCCCCCCCCTTCCCTTGTGACGTCACTGGCCCCGGCGACCAATCGGTGGCGGGATTTCCGGAAGCTCGGTCGGAGGAACTGTCTGCCCTTTCTGCTGGGACTGGCCAGGCCTGGGCAGGACTAGAAGCGCCAGGGCCGGAGCCCTGATCCCCGGGTGAGTGAGAGGCCAGCTCGGGCGTCCGGGGGAAGGAAGGAGATGCCTGGAGGTTCGCATAGCGCTTTCCTCCTTAGGCTGGGAGGGCGGGCGGGAGGAAGTGCCAGCGCCCGCGTCCCCGTTTTCCAGATGAAGAAACTGAGGCCCAGAGAAGTGACGTGACTCGCCAGCGAGTGTCCGAGGCGGGATTCGAGCTGCCGGGCCTGCGTTTGCCGCCCCACGCTAGGCCATGAGCCGGCACAGCCGGCTGCAGAAGCAGGTGCTGAGCCTGTACCGCGAGCTGCTGCGCGCCGCGCGGGGGAAGCCGGGCGCCGAGGCTCGGGTCCGAGCCGAGTTTCGGCAGCAGGCCCGCCTGCAGCGGACCGACGTGCTGCGCATCGAGTACCTGTACCGGCGCGGCCGGCGCCAGCTGGAGCAGCTGCGGGACAGCCGCACCACGGGCATGGGCGTCTTCGTCCCCGGAGCGCCCCCGCGGCCGCCGGACCCGGACTCGGACCCAGACCCGGACCCGCAGCCAAAGCCTGAGACCGGGACCAAGGAGCGCTGAGAGGTGCCCGGCCCTGGCCCCCCGAAGCCTGGGCCCCCGCGGACCTTGTCAGTGCACCCCCACCTAGCTGGGCTGGACACACTCTCCCCTCCCGTACCTTCCCAGCTCCCGCGGTAGACTGCCCTGGACCGGGGAAAAGGAAGAGAAGAAAACCACAGAAGACCCCCGGTCCCCTCTCCCTACACCCCAAGTCCCCAGAGTTTGACCCAGATCCTTCCAGGCATCCTCTTACCCCCAGAGCCCTCCAGTCTGCTCAGAGGGTCCTCAGGGAGGGCCTTGGGCCTGATTCTGGGGTAACTGTTCTCCGCCCCCCAATAAAATGGGCCCCCTTTGCTGAGACGACTGTCGCCTTTTTCTGGGTGGAAGGGCAGATACAATTCTGGATTTCAGGTGGGAGGGTGGGGAATCCCCTAATCCAGAGTCCTCCCTCCCTTTCTTTCTTCCTTCAGTTGTAACATGCTTAGTACAGTAGTACCAGGCACATAGTAGGTGCTTAACAGATGCTTGAGACTCAACTTAAACATTATCAGATCTTTTCATTAGGTCTTTTTTCAGTCACATCTGGCACTTCGTGACCCCTTTGGGGTTTTCTTGGCAGAGAGACTGGAGTGATTTGCCATTCTTTTCTCTAGATTATCAAATCTACAGGAAGCATTTTCTGATCCCCCAAGTGCCTGTGTTCTCCCTCTCAAACTGCCTTATATTTAACGACTTTGTATTTTTTTATTCTCTGCATACATACGTATATACAGTATACATATCTCCTGGTTTTCTCCTCTTCCCACACCCCCTTAGAATGTCAGTTTCCTGAGCCTCCTGACTGTTACATTCATGGATCTGTATCCCAAACACAGTAGGCACTTGATAAATACTTAATGATTGCTTCTCCTGTCCGGGTTCCCTCCCCAGACCTGAAGGCCGGCCTGTAGGTCTACAGAGTGGAAGTAGGGGACACATTGAAGACCTTTGAGTAGGAGATCCATTTTCAACTTCCAGACACTTTGTCCTTATCCATGGTCCTTCCTCCTAAAACAAAGTTACATTTTTATGTCCAAGTATCTGTGTTTCCTTGGGGGATTGAGGAGAAAGAAAGCCTGAATTCATCTGTTCAGGATTATTTTTAGGATTAGGTTTAAGATCGGAATTAGGCCCAGAATTATCTGGAAAGGGTTTCCATCATCGATGTTCAGCCATTTCCAACTATTTGTACTCCATTTGAGGTTTTTCTGGCAAAGATACTAGAGTGGTTTGCCATTTCTTTCTCCAGTTCATTTTACAGATGAGGAAACTGAGGCAAATAGGGTGAAATGACTTTCCCCAGGGTCACACAGCTAGTAAGTATCTGAGGTCATATTAGAACTCGGGTCTTCGTGACTCCAGGTCTGGCATTCCATCCACTTGGCTACCTAGCTACCCTCCCATTGTCATGGCTAGTGGGAAAAAACGTAGAGCCAAGATTAGGGTTTAGTCAGAGGTCTAGACGAATGATACTATCTAGCCTCAAAACAGGAATTTCTGGCTTAGATATTTTGGATACCCCACTCTTTGAGTTGGGGTTCAGTTGGATTGATCTGGGGAAAGGGACTCTTGTTTTTTGCTGCATCTCCCCAGGGGATTTCATCTTTTCATCCTTCCTTCCCTTTCTTGGATCTGGCCGGTGTCTGCTGAGTTGAAGACTGGGGGTACCCTAGGAATATACTTGGCCTCATTCCTGCAGGTCTTCAATGCCTCCAGTTATTGTTTCTAGTTTCCACTTTGCATTTTATTTCTTTAAACTTTTATTGATATTTTCTGGTTTTTTTGTTTTGGTTTTTTTTTTGTTTCTTTTTTTGCTTTTTGGTGAGGCAGTCAGGGTTAAGTGACTTGCCCAAAGTCACACAGCTAGGAACTGTCAAGTGTCTGAGGCCGGATTTGAATGCATTTTATTTTTAAGTGTAAGTTGATTTTTTTCTTGTGTGAATCTCAGTGCACTATTTTTCCTCTGGGGTGTTTGACCGTGGAAGAGAAGGAACGAACATTTATTAAGTGCCTACTGTGTGCCTGGCATTGTGCTAAGCATTTTACAAATAGTATCTCATTTGAACTGAAAAGAGTTATCTCAAGCTTCTACAGGAATTAAACTGGTCCCTGGTCTCCCTCGTTAGAATGTCAGCTTTTTGAGGGCAGGTGTTGTTTTTGCTTTTTCTTTGTATCTTTTGTGCCTGACACCTAATAAAGACTTGTTGCTTAAGTAATTGTTTAGAAAACATAACTGGGGGCGGGGGCAGCTAGGTGGCCCAGTGGATAGAGCACCGGCCCTGGATTCAGGAGGACCTGAGTTCAAATCTGGCCTCAGACACATAACATTTACTAGCTTTGTGACCCTGGGCAAGTCACTTAACCCCCATTGCCCAACCCCCAAAAAAACCAAAACAATAGAAAACATAACTTGGTATCCCGTGAAGGCCTGGAGAAGCCAGATAGTTGGGGAAAAAAACTGTTTGAAATCTCTGAATGACTCGGGCTAGGCATGGAGAGGGGAGACTGATATGGAGAGGTTTAAACTATTTGCCAGAGCCTATGAACTGGCCTCAGTTGGGAGATGCTCTGGAAATGTCGACTGGCAAACTAAGCATTTATTAAATGGGTCCTTTGAAGTAGATTCTAAGATGGAAAATTAACCACTTGGGTGGGTCTTTTCCACTTTGAATCTGTAAACCAAAATCCTCCCAGGCCCTCAGGCTCATAATCCAGCAGTCATCCGGGATTATTCCTTATTTCTCACTCCCCATATCCAAGCTGTTGCTTCGGCCTGTCATTACAATGTCTCCCAAATACCCTGATGCAGACCCTCATCACCTAACCCCTGGATTACTGCAGTAACTGCTGGGGAGGGGGTCTGCCTGCCTCCCGTTCCCCTGACTCCAGTCCAGTCCATCCTCCGTTCAGCCACCAGTGATTTTCCTAAAGCACAGGTCTGATCATGTCACCCCCTCCTCAATAAACGTGGCTCCCGACTGCTTCCAGGAGCAAATACACAATCTTCTGTTGGGATGGTTACTGTGGTGCAGTGGGTAGAGCACTGCCTCTCGAGTCAGGAAGACCTGAGTTCAAATCTGGCTCAGACACTTGATGCTTACTAGATGTGTGACCCTGGGAGAGTCACTTAACTCCATTATCTAGCCAAAAAATAATAATAATAATCTTCTGTTTGGCCTTCAAAGGCCTCCCTACCTGAGCCCTTCCTCCCTTTCCAGCCTTCTCACCCCTTCCTCCTCTGTCCTGTCCTCTTCCATCCAGTGACACTGGCCTCCTGGCTGTTCCACCCACTACCTTCCATCTCTTGTCATTTTCTCTGACTGTCCCCTATTCCGTGAGCGCTTCCCCTCCTCATCTCTGCCTCCTGCCCTCTCTAGCTTCCTTCAAATCCCAGCTAAAATCTCACCATGTACAGGAAGCCTTTCCCAGGCCCTGTTCACTCCAGGGCCTTGCCCTTGTTAATTATCTCTTATTGACCCTGTCTATGGGTTCATAGTTGTTTCCTGACAGTCTTCCCCCATTAGATTGTGAACTCCTCAAAAACAAGGAACAGTGCCTGACATAATGCCTGGCAATAGTTGGTGCTTAATAAATGTTTATTGTTGACTGATAAACCTTGTGCTCCTTGAGGGCAGGGACTACTTCATTTTGGTCAGCACCTGGAGTGAGAATGTTTGCTGTCTTGACATCACTCCATTTTTTAAAATATTCTTTTTTTTTTTTAGTTCTAAATTTTCTCTCTCTCCCCTGTTGAGAAGGCAAGCAATGTGATACCAATTATACATGTGAAGTCATGCAAAACATTTTCACATTAGCTATGTCACAAAAAAAAAATAAAGCAAGAAAAATTAAGAATGTGAAAAAAATCTGCTTCAGTCTGCACTCTGAGTTCATCAGTTCTCTCTCTAGAGGTGGATAATATTTTTCATCAAGAGACCATCGGAATTGTTATGGGTCATTGTATTGATCAGAGTAGCTAAATCTGATCATTGTACAATATTGCTGTTACTGTATGTGATGTTTTCCTGGTTCTGCTCATTTCTCTTTGCATCAGTTCACCTGTATCTTCCCAGGTTTTTCTGAAACCTGCTTGTCATTTCTTATAGCACAGTAATATTCCATCACAATCATGTATCACAACTTGCTCAGCCATTCCCCAATTGATGAGCATCCCAATAATGTCCAATTCTTTGTCGCACACAAAGAGCTGCTATAAATATTTTTGTACAGATAGGTCTTTTTCCCTTTCCTTTGATCTCTTTGGGATACAGACCTAGTAATATTATTGCTGGGTCCAAGGGTATGCACCTACCTCCCAGGGTTATTGGGAGGACCAAATAAGATAATTATTGTAAAGTGCTTAGTACAATGCCTGACACATAGTAGACACTATATAAATATTAGCTGTTATTGTTGTTTTTCAGCAGTGTCTGACTCTTTGTGACCCTGTGGACCATACCGTCCATGGAGTTTTCTTGGCAAAGATACAGAAGTGGTTTGCCATTTCCCTCTCCAATGGATTAAGGCACATTGAGGGGAAGTGACTTGTTCAAGGTCACACAACTAGTAAGTCTGAGACTAGATTTGAACTCAAATCTTTCTGACTCTAGGATCAGTGTTCTACCCACTGAGTCATCTAGCTGCCTCAAACTGTTATTATACCAAGATAAGCTCAAAGTGGGTTCGTGATTTAGACATCATTAACAAATCATTAACAAATTAGGCAAGTATGGAAAATATTACCTGTCAGATCTATGGAGATGGCGTAGTTTCAAATTGTGATTAGACCAGTTCACAATTCCACCAACAGTGCGTTAGTGTCCCTCTTCTTATACATCCCCTCCAGCATTTGTCATTTTCATTTTCTGCCATGGTAGCCGCTTTGATGGGTGTGAAGTGGTACCTCAAAGTTGCTTTAATTTACATTTCTCTAATTATTAGTGGTTTAGAGCATATTTATCACATGATTATTGATAGCTTTGATTTCTTCTTCTGAAAACTACCCATTCATATCTTTTGACCATTTGTCAATTGAAGAAGGACTTTTATTTTTTTATAAATATGGCTCAGTTCCCTACATATTTGAGAAATAAAACCTTTATTAGAGAAACTTGATGTAAAAAATTTTTCCCCAGTGTCTTTCTTCCTAATTTTGGCTGCCTTGGTTTTGTTTCTGCAAAACCATATTAATGTAATGTAATCAAAATTGTCCATTTTACTTCCTGCGACCCTCTTTATCTCTTTTTTGGCCATAAACTCTTCCCTTATCCATAGATCTGACAAGTGATATTTTCCACACTCCCCTAATTTGCTTATGATAA